GGAACACAGATGCCAGTATGGACTTAGATGCCCTCCTCTTTGGGCTGCAATTCCTCCTGCACAGATGAGGAATATGTTGGCATTATCTGACTTTCAGTGACTTAATCATTCCACAAAAACTTTCTCAGGAAAAAGTACAAATCAAAAATGCCTGTCATGACAATCTTATGTCTGAGAAGACTGTTCTAAAATAAGTTAGCAGGGTAACATTCAGTACACAACATGCTTACATTGTACTTCTACCCATTCAGAGGTTCTGAATTTCCTCAGAGCTACATGGGATTAATTAGAGAAGCGATAGACTTGCTGGCACAGTTAAAGTGCTCCTAGTGGAAGCTTTTATTGAGAAGTTCTAGCAGATTTTACTGTAATGGATTAAGGCTTTCCCTTGGCTACCTTTCTGGACTTCTACCAGACACAATGCTCATAGGAATAGGGCTGACAAAGAACTTATCCTAGGTACTCCAGTTCAACTTCTATCATCTTGAGCGGACCCACCACTGTATTTCAAGTAGTATGACACACTATGTGTTCACAGTGTAGTTTATAAAGATGTAATTATGACAGTTGAATCTTGATACTATTCTATGACAGACAAGATTAAAGCATGTCATCAAATCACTATCCTTCTCTTCTGATATCAGACAAGGAATGAAAAGACGAAGAACAAGAACATGTACTCCATGAGTACATGACAAACTACCAGAAAGTGTCAGGATAGACGTGAGTTCCACAGGAGGAATACGTGTTAATTCTAGAGCCAAGCAGACCGCAGAGCATAGATTGCTGAACTGTGGACTCCGGCCTATTACAGCGTTCATTAGTGAGTACCATGGAAAGCCAGCATCAAGTGCAACACTCAGAGTGTTCAGCAAGAAGCAAACAGCAAGAAGCACAAGCTCAGTAGTTAGCAGCACAGAACAAATTTTTTTGCTATGAAACATTTTGCTATGAAAAACAATCACAAATTATGAAAGGCAGAATAAAGGCAAAGGCAATTATCATGACAATATCACCAAACGTTATGCTGAATGTTTCTTTGCTTCTTTTCTTCTCTTTCTACATTACTCCAGCAATCTGAGCTTGCAAGAACTCTCCAATTCACTGGCCAGCACTTACAGATCTTGGCACTGTTGCTATGTAGCCTGTAACAATTGCTGGCATATGCCATTTTAGTAGGAAAAAGAAAAGCATATTGTAAAAGTTTGGAATAAAACCTCTGTCTAGAGGAGAAAACATTCATTTTACTGAACCAGTTACAAACCAAGAGCAATAACTATCAAGAACTAATTATCAGTCATCTTCAGAGAAGTAGAGCGGTAATATCTCCATAAAAATAATTCAAAACTCATTCAAGAACCACAGTGGAGTATTAGAAAACTAGAATGTTCAAAATAAGGGCGGGAGACTTAGTGAAGAAGTGCTTTATGATGACTGCTGAGGGACTGTTTTAAGTTTTCTATCACTTTCACTGTCTGCTGAAAATGTCCTAAAACCATTCATGTAAGAGGCTGAAAGCAAAGCCAGGAATCACAGAATCACAGAATTGTAGGGGTTGGAAGGGACCTCTAGAGATCATCGAGTCCAACCCCGCTGCCAAAGGAGGTTCCAAAGCAGAAAGTACTGAATAAGACAGTATCTGCTTTGCTCTTCACAAAGTTAAGAGCAGTTCATTCTCAGACAATGTATCTTTGCCCTTCAATATTCCTTTCTTAATCAAATCTGCTGAGATTGCAAAATATTTGTTAAAGAGTTTTGTTTGATTCTTTAAATAGTAGGTGTGGGGATTTCTTGTTTGTTTTGTTTGTTTAAAAGGAAGCTTTACAGTTTGTTTGGTTTTGCTGTTGAATTCTAAAGCATTTCACATGACTGGAGAGAAATTTGCTGTCCTTATTCTGAAGCAAGATTTTCTCTTGTCTGCAACAGTCCTTCAACTCATTTTCCTGCTTTCTTACACTTACACTGAAATCAGTATAAAAGAAAGTATACCCATGTTGAATGTACCAAGTATTTCCAAGTATTGGTGGACACCAATCTTCATACTGCAAATATTCCATGCTACCTGCTGGTTGAGCAAGAACATGTTTATAAAATCAGCTTTCAATATAAAATAGAGGAAGATTTACTCAAGCTTAAAGAGTGAGACATCAACTGACCACTAACAAGACTGCATTTCCTATTGAATACCAACACTCCATTACTCCCACTAATTTCTTATTAATTTTATGCGTACCTTTTCTCCTAATTATACTTTCATCATTCATTTTGCTAAAATCAGAATGCAAATATTTAAACAAAAAGAACTACCCTTCCTAGCAAAAGTTGTTCTCAAAACTTCTCTCAGAGCAATCCAGAAATCCAGTGGGAATCCCACTCAATGGTCACATACCCTACTAGGCTTCAACTTGAGGTGCCTATTTGCATTACTTGATGAATGATATGGAGCCACTGCTAGTCATCTTGACTTGCTATAAATTGCAGTATGAATGCACTGATACCAAAACCCTACTAGAGAACAATCCCAGAAAACTGGAAGCTTGCCAATGTGACTCCCATCTACAAGAAGGGTTGTAAGGAAGATCTGGGGAACTACAAGCCTGATTGCCTGACCTCCGTGCCAGGGAAAGTTATGGAGCAGATTGTCTTGAGGGAGATCACGTGGCATGTGGGGGACAACCGGGGGATCAGGCCCAGCCAGCATGGGTTCACGAAGGGCAGGTTCTGCTTGACCAACCTGACTGCCTTCTATGATCTAATGACCTGCCTGCTAGACGACGGAAAGGCTGTTGCTGTGGTCTGTCTAGACTTCAGCAAGGCCTTGGACACTGTCTCCACAGCATTCTCCTGCAGAAGCTGGCAGCCCGTGGCTTGGACAGGTGCACTCTTGGCTGGATAAAGAACTGGCTGGAAGGCTGGGCCCAGAGAGGGGTGGTGAATGGAGCTGAATCCAGCTGGTGACCGGTCACGAGTGGTGTTCCCCAGGGTTGGTGCTGGGGCCTGTCCTCTTCAATATCTTTATTGACGACCTGCATGAGGGCACTGAGGGCACCCTCAGTAACTTTGTGGACAACACCAAGTTGGCTGGAAGTGTGGATCTGCCTGGGGGTAGCGAGGCCCTACAGAGGGATCTGGACAGGCTGGATGGCTGGGCTGAAGCCAATGGGATGAGTTTCAACAAGGCCAAATGCTGGGTCCTGCACTTTGGCCACAATAACCCCAGGCAACACTACAGGTGTAGAGGAAATGGACCTGGGGGTATTGATTGATGCTCAGCTGAACATGAGCCAGCACTGCGTCCATGTGGCCAAGATGGCCAATGGCCTCCTGGCTTGCATCAGAAACGGTGTTGCCAGCAGGAACAGGGCAGTGATTGTCCCCCTGTACTCAGCTCTGGTGACGCTGCACCTCGAGTGCTGTGTCCAGTTTTGAGCCCCTCACTGCAAGAAAGACATTGAGGCCCTGGAGCGGGTTCAAAGAAGGGCAGCAAAGCTGGTGAGGGGTCTGGAGCACAGGGCTTAAGAGGAGCGGCTGAAGGAGCTGGGGTTGTTCAGAAGAGGAGGCTCAGGGGAGACCTTATTGCTCTCTATAACTACCCGAAGGGAGTTGTAGTGAGCTGGGGGTTGGCCTTTTCTCTCGTGTAACTGGTGATAGGACTAGAGGGAATGGCTTCAAGCTGCGCCAGGGGAGATTCAGGCTGGACATTAGGAAATACTGCTTTTCTGAAAGAGTGGTCAGGCAGTGGAATGGACTGCCCAGGGAGGTGGTGGAGTCACCGGCCCTGGAGGTGTTCAAAGAATGTTTGGATTTTGTGTTGAGGGATATGGGTTAGTGAGAACTACTGGTGATAGGTGGGTGGTTGGACTGGATGATCCTGTAGGTCTTTTCCAACCTTGGTGATTCTGTGATTATTTCATAAATAAGAATTTTATAATACACACTCAAAAACTAATAGGGAAAAAACCTGTTAACTTTGCTGGCTCTAATCTCAGTCTCCAATAAACTGCAAGCTGTGTTTGTCTGTGCAGGGCAAACTTGTTCACAACCCCAGGAATACAAAGTTAAAAAATAGCTGGTTTTCCAGCAAGAAAGATGACCATAGAATTAAGCAAAACAAACTTAAATTCTTTTGGTAAGTAAGGGGAGAGAAATCAATTTTAAATTTAAGAGGCAGAGGCTACAGCCAGTAGACAGGAGATCTGGAAGATCAACCTCAGAATCCTGGAAGACACACATTCAGTGTTTCTAACTACTTCACATCTTCATAGAATAACAGAATAATTTGAGTTGTAAAGAGGCCGTTAAAGGTCATCCATGCCAACTCCCCTGCAATGAGCAGGGCCACCTACAGTGAAAGCAGAGTGCTCAGAGCCCCATCTAAACTGATGTTTAATCTTTCCAGGGATGGGGAGATCATCACCTCTAGGTAAACTGTTCCAGTGCCCCACTACCCTTACTGTAAATAATTCTTCCTTGTATCCAACCTAAGTCTTCCACCTTTTAGTTTGAAACCATTTCCCTTTCTCCTATCACAGCAGACTCTGCTTCAGCCCGTCTCCATCTTTCTCACAGTCCCCATTTCAGATACTGAAAGGCGGCCCTCAGACTCCCTGGAGCCTTCTCCAGGTTGAACAGCCTCAGCTTTCTCTCCATTCCATATACACTTTCGTCTTAGCTAGATACTGCAGAAAAAAATATCTACTTGTCACAAACACTTGCCATTATTGCCACAGCTATCAGAGGTGTAGATACAGAAAAAAGACTGCTAGCTGACATCTGGATGATTAAAGCATATTTGTGATATAGTATCTACCTTAATACAGTTGCCTGTCCTCTACCATCATACAGGAGTAGTAGCCAGTAAATTGTACCTTTGAGAATATAAATTCTTGTTCATTTAATGTTACTATTCAACTACAACAGAAGTAAAAACTTACAAAAAGAACAAAACACAATTTTATTTGATGGATTTTATATCATAGCTCAAACAAAAAAACCAAGAGTTTTCAGTAGCAATAGCAAAGAGCAATTTATTAAAATGGAAATCTGTAAAACTTCATGTATCAAAACTAAGGCCGCAGTTAGTGCTAACATAAAGCCAACTTCAAAATGTTCTTATAATAGGATTTAATTTAGAAATATTATACAAAGCTATTATACAAATGAGCTCTAAAATACTCTGAAATGTAGTATTACCTGTACCAACATGACCACTTATTCTAGTGATGAGATTTAATGACATAAAGTTCCGAAGCAACAGTACATAAAACTTGTGTTTATTCTGGACCTCTGAGGAAAGTAATTTTCTACTGGACTCCATCAACAGAAACAAACTACAAAATACTCTACTGGCAGATGCCAACGATGTTTCCCTTTTGTGATAAATACATTTCTTCTCTTCCAATGTTAAATATCTCCAGTCATAATAGCAATGAACTCCTCTAGATTGACTGTAAAGGAAAAGACAATTATTAGACAAACAGCAAATACCATAAACCATAAGAGAACATAACATACATATGCATACTGCACTCTTAAATTGAAGGTTTCCAACTTTGTATTTATTGGGTGTGACAGACATTCAAATTTGGATTATTTTTTTTTTTGCTTCTAGAACAGAATTTTTTTTTTCTTTTTAATGTGAAATGAAGTCAGAATGCAATATTAACTACATGTGATTCTTAAGACAGAATTAGACTCATAAATAAAAAAATATTATTTCTAATTCTGAAAGTAAAAATATTTTAGAAATTAAAAATAAAAATTAGGAAAGTACTTTAAAATACAACTAAGAAAAACTACACCACTTTCTTTCCATTTTTAACATCTTTATATGCTAAAACCATAACAATATATATAGTACATGCTTCTCAAACAACAAAGCTGCAGTTCCACTTATGATCAAATTCTATTTTATTCTTCAAAGAATAATTCAGACCTTTGTGTTCTGCGTTCCCATCTTCCCCCCCAAAAAGCAAAAATGACAAAATAACTCAAAAAAGCACACATTCACACCATGATTTTCCTCTCCCAAATCTGTAACAGTGAACAAATAAAAAATGAATTTCATGATTCTACAAATTAGCTTGAATTAAGACAGACTTTTGACAAGTTTTTCTCCCACCTGAACTTTCTTCATTCTACAGTTATAATTAACAGAAACTTAACACAAATGTACTTGAAGAAATTAAGTAATAGTAATAAATTAATTAGCAGTCATTAATTATTTTACTGCACTTACACCTGAGCTATTGACCTTACTCATATGTTAAAACAGAGACACTGTAAAAGAGCTAACCAATGAACATGTTCACTCTGCAACTAATTACCGTAGTGCGGAATGAACAGATTAAGCCAGTGATATGCAAAAGAACAGACACATATGACAAACTGTCCTTGACAATTATGTGCCCCAAACAGTGTGCCCAAGTTAATCCTGAACATACCACTGCAAAGCAGAAGTTACATCTACAGCCAGAGGAAAGCTAAACCAGTTCATGTTAAAAGTATTTTAAAAAATAAATTCAAATCTGCCATCTTGCAACACATTTAAAAACAACAGGAAACAATCTATTTTAGGACTATAAACTCTAAAATGTCAGTCAATCAAATAGCTACACCATGTTGCATTACACAGAAGCACCGTGTTTTCTGCATGACTTAAAAGGCATTATCATGGTTTTATTTCACTAGCATTACCAAGTAAATTCATGTATTTCTATATCTGTTGAATTTTTCATGTTTTGATTTCAGATAATTACAACTTCCTGTAAGTTTTCCCTTATGTACTAACATGTCTTTTCCACTTTAATTATTCTTCAATTTATCATTGTTCATATAATGTAGTGGCTAACAATAACTAAAAAATAAAATAAAATAAAATAAATAGAAGATTAGTAGTAAAAAGATAGATGTTGAAAAGTTGTAAAATTCCTGAGAAACAGTTCTAGCAACTTAAAATGGAAACATGTTTGGAATACTGGCCAAAATAAATAAGAATAGGGATAAGAAGTCAGAATGGATGATTACAGAAAATATACTGGAAACTTCTGTGCATTAATACTTATCTGTTTGATTCTGCAAAGTGAAGGTTGAAGAGTGCAATGAGGAAAAAAAAACCCAACAGATTTCAGAAAGTAAAACAGATGGGTTTGGCCTATTATGGCTCTATTTTAATGCTTTACTCTCAAGGGTTGTTCAATTAGTGGTCAGTTACTACAAAAGTATGATGCTCATTTTCCAGAGTTTGGAAATTAAGGCTTTACTGAATATAAAATAATAGCTGTTTGATTTAGTTATATTGCTCAACAAGCACAATGTTGCAACCTATTTTCACTCATTCAGGTTATAAAATTGTTTTAAGCTACACGTAAAAGTGTAACTGGAAAGAGAATACATCTCAAAGTCTATGACTAGTTTTCAAAGATAGTTACAGATTATCTTACTTACAATAATTACTATTTGCATGTTTACTTGAAGAGCAATATTCTCTGTGTATATGACCTTTGCCAGTAGCAGTTATCTGCAGGATATATTTGGAGTCCAAAGTAGCTTTTCAGTAAGCCGCATTAAACACAAATTCAGAGATGAAACTCAATCAGTGCTGCTGTAAGAAAAGAAATTAAGATGGAGCCACACACATATCCGGCAAGACAAGTGACCACTTGAGCTTCGTCCTAAAACATCACAATCAAGGTATGATTGAAATTGTCTTCTATCAATTTTAAAGGATTTTAAAGGTGAAAGCAACACTTTCCTTAGACATCAATACTGCTTTCATTTTATGACACACAACTAAAATTAAAACCAGAATTGAAGTTTCATGTGGTTTGATTCATGAACGAAACAGAAGTATCTAAAAAGGACACAGAGATTGCTTCTTCTTTCCCTCCCATTAATAATGCATGTAATTAGTGTTTAAAAATAAGCTGAAACATAAAAATACTGTTAACTCTTTTTGCATGTACATGGCATAAAAACACTACAGTAGGAAAGGATATTTCTGCTTTATGCCATCGTGTACGGACACAACTTCATATGTGCTATGGTCTGACTTACTAAATTCAATAAATTAGTGATATAAAGCTGCTGATAATGTGAAGCCATTGCCTACTCTCAAAGCAGCAAAACATTGGTGAAAAGGGAGAATTTGTTAACTTGGATTACCTTCCTTTATTTTACACCTGTTCTCTTCTACTGTTGTTTTAGAAAGTTATTCTCTAGTCTTAAGTGGATCTTACTCAAGGCTCTGAATTTAATGGCTTGAGCATACCTAGAGGAAATGCAAACTAAATAAATGTGCATCTTCGTTGGCATTCAAAGAGGAATAAGTTCAGAATGTCTTCTAATTCAACAAGTCATTTCAGTAAATGTACCAAAACTATTAAAAGATGACTAATGCATTAATCCATGTTGATGAATTAATTACACTTATAAACTTCAAATACTGTTAGAGTTACTGAACAGTAATCCAAAACTCATGTCCCAACCCTTTCTCAAAGCAGGGTAGATAAATCCTGTTGTTCAGGCCTTTGCCTCATTAAGCTGTAAAACGTTTCCAAGGTTGCTATGCTTACCCGCCCTCGTGGTCTGAAAAAAATCACAGCTTCCTTTCACCTTCTCAGAAACCAGAGAACCTTTAAGTAACTTTTTTTTTTTTTTTAAACAACTTTTTCCCCTAAACAATCAAGTTGAGACCACTGCCCAGGACATATAGTATTCCCATCAGCCAAATGATTACTGAGCATGATACAAATGTTCTCCTTTGAAGGCAAGTCTGCAGGCACATCAGCAGTTCAGCCTGACAGTCCAATATGAAGAACCAAATGAATTTCAAAGTAGTTTATTTCTCTGTTACTGCTTCAGGACATCACCAACCAGAGGGCAAGTTTCAGACACAGAATAGGAGATGAGGCAAAAGTAGGAACTACACATTACATTATTTTCACCTTTTCAGCAAGAAGTCTGCAAGAAGGACATTAAGTAATAAAGAAAAAAATACCAAAATAGAAGACCAATGTATTTTCTTATATATATAAATGGAAGTAGTGGATTATAATTTTAACCGTAACACATGGATTTAAAAATATTCTTCCACAGTTATCAAACAGGCCTGCTATTCAGAGTATATGCTTGTCTCTCTGGGTGGATGATCAGCTTGATTTATTGTAACTGAGGACACTTCATCAAAGAGCTGCAATTGTTCAGACCCAAGGTGTTATCAAGTAGAATGACTGATATTCACACTCTTTACCTCTTGGTTGTATTTTCACCTCACAAAGGCAAAAATCTACTGTTTTGGAATTGATTGTTTCTGCCACCAGTTTAGGGGGACACTGTTAAGAGAGTGGTTAACAACTAAAATAGAAATAGGAAACATTTCCACAATGAACTGAGGGTGCTGTTTTTTTCCTACTACAATTACAAGATGTTGGATAAGTAAGTTGGAGTCTTTAATGTGCTGCCTAGTGGGTGTGTGGACTACTGAAAAATACAGAAGAAAAATAAAAAAAACATCAAAAAGAAGTTATGTTTTCTCTGCTAAAGAACAGTGCTGAGACTAGCTGTGCTACCTGTGTAACAAGAAACAAAGTAAATAAATAAAGGCAAAAAACTAGATATGCTTATAGTACTTCATACTAATCCACCTTCTGACAAAATTTCTACCCAGCTCCTTCTCATTATAATTTCTAAAGACTATTCCAGAAGTATTACATAGCCAGTTTCAATACTACATGCACATTAAATCCAGAAGCCAAAGAAATTTTTGAAGAACTACAAATGCAAACATCCTCATTGAAACATTTCCTGACCCAAAACACACCTGTTCCATAATGCTGCAAAGTGGAAATACAATATTACAGTGGTAAACAAATTTGGCAACATTCAAAGTGCAAAGAGAGATGTGACAACAATTCCCAGCAACCCAAGTCATCCTCCTCAGACTCCAGACCTCTGACAAGCTACCTAATGAGCAGGTGCTAGGGCAACAACCACTGCCCTTCCTAGTGTCAGACATCCATTATTTTTGTGACATATATCATCATAAAGTAAGTATTCTTACAGCTAAAATGAATAAAACATTGACTTGGAGAGTTAAGAAACTCTCCAGGAGTTAACAAGAGAGTAAAGTTAATTTAGTGGAGCTTTCCCTCCAACCCTAATTCTTTGCAAGAACATAAAACTGAAACGGGATTATGTTTACTGTAGATGCATCCACACAAGACAAAAAGGTGAATGAATTGACAGCATGGAATTTCTAAAAATAGTCATGCACCAAAACAGATGTTACTTAGAAGATCAGCAGTATGAAAATCTGATGATTTACCTTCTTAAGGCAGATGCTAATGTCAAAAATAGTTTTACAGAAAGTTCAGAAAAGTCTATCAGTACAGCACAGTAGTTCCACTCGTAAGACTAGGGTTCAAGTAGCCTGACGTACTGTGTTACAGACTTTATTTCACTAGGGAAAAAAAAAATAAATCTTTCAAATATAGTAAGAATGTTTACGTGGTATTAATTCCTATATTTTAAGTATTAGTTAAAAATACTACCAATTCATACTTAAAGATTTTTTCCCCTAGGCAGGAAATAAAGGAGAATTAGATGAGAGCAAGTCTTTGTTACATGACCGAGATGTTTGAAACTGGATGGAACACTGACTCAGAAGATTATTTACTTTTTGAGACTGAATTTTAAGAGCTAGAAACAGTATCAGTTTTCTTTAAAGGACAGAAGACAGAACCATAAGGAAACAACAGCACTACAAATAAACATTATGCTGCCAATCTTCCACATTCAATCTTGTTCCAGACTACTCTAAAAAAGAAAATTAATGGATGAATAAGGAAAATGAACTAAGCTACCTCATAAATTTAGTGCTGATCCCAAAATAACTATAATCTTCCTGAAAGGAGCTAGAGGTTTACATTGATTTCTACTGGCCAAACAGCAATATGACCAAAACCATCCCTGATTATCATTCTGACAGTTGAGTTGCCAGCTCTAGAACAAAAGACAAAACATGCTTATGGCTGACATATTCTACTTGCTCTCACCTCTGTAGCTACACTTTCAAATAAAAGTAAAATGAGTCTTTAATACAAATAAGTAATACAGGCAGTGCAATCACAACCACTCCTTTTAAAAGCCAAAAAAGCTTAAAATAATGTCTACTTAGACTATTATACTCTTTGCTGTACAGCTACTAAAGTGGATACCAATGCAATAGATGTGTGGAAGGACGTGTCTGACAAATAGAGGAACACCAGAATTATGCAGGAAACATGGCAGGAAATAAAAGCGAGATCAGGAGGTAGCATCTTTCAAACAAAAGTCTTCTCAACAGTGCACTGACTTTTGTAAAAATAGTGTCAACATTAACAGTCTAGTAGCAATAAAAGCACAGAGCTTTTACTGTTTTTGCCTTTATGCTCCATATTTATGTCACCAAAATGAAACAGAAAGTTTGCATTTTAACTGCACTGACTACGCTCAGAAGTTCTGCTTTTAGACTCAGGAAAAAAAGGAGCTTTTTTTTTTTCTTTTTTTTTTCTCCCCCAATATTTGAGTAACTGCAAACAAGAACAGGCCAACAATTAACAAGCTTGCAGTTGTATGTCAAGTGTGAAGTAACATCTATCACAGGCAACAAAAGTATCTGTCACAAGGCTGAAAAAAAGGCAGGTGTTGTGGGTTTTGGTTTTTTTTCTCTAGCAGTAGATGTTGCTGACAAATAAAAATGTTTTGCTACTGAAAAAGTTGATAGTTCTGAAATCTCAGATGAGAGTCACCATTCTGAAAGAAAAACTCACATAGGTTTCTATGACTCAGAAATGCAGAGTATATGCAGATTATCTTAAGTGCTCCTGAAGCTCCTTAAGCTCCTGAAATCCAGGTATTTAGGCTTCCAGCTTAAATATAGATTTAAATTAATGGGGGAAATAAAGAAGAGAGTTAAAAAACAAATAAACAACAATTCTAAGTTGCAGTGCTTAATAAGCATAGTTTCAAACAGGCTTTGTTACTTAATTCTTTGTCTAGCTAATAAAACTCTTCTATAACTCACACTGTATGGATCTTGTTTCCTCAGAGCATTTTTCACACCACGTTCTTCAGCTCTCCTAAGTACAGATGCACATTGGAGTCTTATCCAATTTAATAGCATAACTGTATCTGACTAACAAGCTGAAATCACAATAGTGACACACTGCTGCTTAAGAAATATTGAACTAGGTGATCAAAAGAGCTTCTTCTGGTCTTTTAATCCTCTTATTGATACATACAGACATCAAAGTTTAATGTAGTACACAGACTCTTCCATGAACCACTTAATTATTTACACTTCTACCAGAACTTGAACCAAACCTTTAATAGGTATGGTTTGATTAAGCCTTAGTGAAGGTGAGAAATCAATTTGATTTTTAGACTCCACTATACATTTTCAGGACTAATATCTATCAAAAACTACTTTTGTTACACATAAGCTAAATTTGAGCTGAAAGATAGATAGAAAGAAAACAGAGAACACTTGTAAATGTTAGGTATTTTCAAGATAAAGCTACATTAAAATACAGAGAAAATTAAGAGATAGAAATCCCATATAGTCCATTCTTAATACTTACTTTCTCCATCTCCATCCTTATCAAATTCTTCAATCATAGCCCGCAGTTCTTCATCAGACATGTTTTCACCCAGTTCTCTAGCAACCCGACGCAGGTTTCTCAGGCTTATTTTACCAGAGTCATCATCATCAAACAATCTGAATGCCTTGAGTATTTCTTCTTGTGGATCTCTGTCCAATATCCAGTCTGTCACTGTAAGGATTCTGAAGTCAGACTAAAAAATTCTGACGGGTAAACTCAGAATGACAGACTGAAAAAATGTATATTCCAGATTTCATCTGTTCTTTCATTTTTAACCTATTTCAAGTCACAATATGCATGCATACTTGGTTGGCTGCTATCTGGTCTTTCTTTCTCTACTCCCTTTTCAAAGCTGAGTTATTCTTCGCCATTTATCAGGTACAGTGGAAAAGCTACATGGCAATTTAGACTCAATCATGCTTTCAATAGACTTTTCTATACAAATTGAAAGTATACATGTCTTTTCTATTCGAAAAATGCATTTCAGAAAAAAATACATCAGCTCTAACAGATCTAGGCTCTTGAATTTGTTGATTTTAAGTGTTATGATCTGGATAGAATTTTGACTTGCTGACAACACAGAAACAACATTAAGTAATTAAAAACAATCAGGGGGGAGGAACTTCTCTTTTAGACACAAAATCGCGCTGACAAAAAAACAAAACCAAAGCCTGAGGTTTATGAAAATGACACTACTATATGCTGCAAAATGTTAATTCTGAAAGGATTTGTTACTCTCGGTTAGTCCTTTCATTGCATCCATTTGTTGCTTAGTAGTTGCTTAAAAGACAGCCAAGCTACAAAAATATTTTTTCAGTAATTAATTCAGACACTTCTGGAATCAGATGCAAATATCTTTATATCTATGTACCTGCTCATATTACATGACATGGTATTTAAGATTTTTATCAAACCATTAAAAACGCATCATACTTGTTTGTGCAAAGATAAACACTTTTCATCTGCTACTGTTTGCAGATGGAATGCCTCCTTCAGCTTAGTGAACTTGAAAGCAAAATACCAGATCCAAGCTCATGCAATTTCACTATAGCAATAAGGATTTTTTTTTGTTTTCATATTTATATAAATTTATGTGTTTTATATATAATGTAGACTGAAGTATATACAAAAAAAATGACTCATACTTAAATATTTTCATTGAAAACAACTATGATGTATTACAGTAGTAAATCACTTGAGAAACTCTACTTTTATGGAAGAAAGGCCATAAAAGGCAATAAGAGCAACATCAGCTAACAAAAAAGCACTGCCTCTAAGTACCACAGTTAAAATGATTGTACAAAACAAGAGGAGATACAACTATACACATTTTAGATGGTCAGTTCTGACATTTAAACCACAGATAATCACACAAAACTATTGGCTAAGTAACTGTTTAACTACATTCAGCCAACTCATGATAACAGTTTCTATAACTTCTTTTCTCTAACTCTCTAATACTTCTGCTACAATTCTATAAGGACATATTTGTCACACCCACGCTCAGACCTGATCCAGAGTTTTTGGATTGATTCAATTGCCCTCTCACTATTAGTTGTGCTACATGAATCTTCCTAGATCCTCACAGCATTTGCTGACTGTCTATATTGATAACTAGAACAAAAAAAGCTGAGTTGGGACACTGAACATCAGAAGGGTGAAACCTTGGGCTGTTTTAGGAATTATTGGAGGAATCCCCTGGGAAATGTCCTTAGGGACAACAGAACAGAAAGGAGATGGAAGATCTTCAGGGACATCTTTCTGAGATGGGGTCTCCATCCCCCAGCATAAGAAATCAAGCAGAGGAGGTAGGAAATCAATATGGCTGAGCAAATACTTACTTGCTGGTCAAACTCAGGGGTAAGATGGAAATGTACAGGCAGTGGAAGTAGGGATGGATGGCCTGGGAAGAATGAAGGAATGCAGTCCAGACATAGGAAAATAAGATCAGGAAAGCCAAGGCTTTCAGATGGAACTGAACTTGGAAAAGGATGTGCAAAATAACAAAAAAGAATCTTTAGATACATTGGTCAGAAGAGAAAGGCCAAGGAGGGCATACCCCCTCTGATAAATGAAAAGGAAGAACTGGCTTCAGCAGACATGAAGAAGGCTGAAGTACTCAGTGAGTTCTTTTGCCTCAATTTTCATTCACAGTCAGGCTTCTCAAACCTCTCATGCTCCTGAATCTCTAAGCAGGTGTCAGAAGAACAAAATCTGTCTCTGCTGGCAGAGCAGAGCAAGTCTAAGACCACATTGTGAGGCAGAATGAGTACATGACTATGGGGCAGAACAAGATTCGTCCAAGGGCACTGAAGAAACTGGGTGATGTAGTTGCCAAGCCACTCTTAATCAGATACGAAAAGTTGTGGCTGCCAGGTGAAGACCTTCGTGACTGGAAAAAATAGAAACATCACTCTCATTTTTAAGAAAGGGAGAAAGGAAGACCCAAGGAACAACAGACTGGTGAGCCTCACCTCTGTGCTTAGAAAGATCATGGAAACTTCTGGAAGAGATGTTAGGACACATGAGAGTCAAAGAGGTGATCTAAGATAGCCAGCACTGCTTAACCAAGGGCAGCCTGTGCCTGACCAATCTGGCACCCTCCTATGATGGAGTGACAGCATTGGTGAACAAAGGCAGAGAAAACTAATATTGTCTGCTTGGACTTCTGTACGGCCTTTGATAAGATTCCACATCATATTCTTATCTCTAAATTGGAAAAATATGGATATGAAGGGTGGACTATTCGGTGCATACAGAATTGATTGGGTGGTTGCAGCCAGAGGTTTGTGGTCAGTATTTCTATGTCCAAGTGGAGACTGGTAAAAAGCAGTATTCCTCAGGGATCTTCCATGGTACCAGAGCTCTTAACATCTTTATCAATTATATAGATAGTAGGATCAAGTATACATTCAGCAATTTTGCAGATGACACCAAGCTGAGTGGTACAGTTGACACAAGAGAAGGAAGAGATGCCATCCAGAGGGACCTGTACACAATTGAAGAGCAGTTCCACATGAGACTCAATAAGGTAAAGAGCAAGGTGTTACACCTGAGTCAGGGTATTCCAAGATACCTGCACAGACTCAAAGCTCATTAAAAGCAGCCCTGCTAAGAGGGACTTCAAGATCCTCGTGGACAAAATGCTGGATACAGGCCAACAGCATGCACTTGCAGCCTGAAAAGCTGACTGCATCCTGGGCTGCAACAAAAGAGGAGCAGGCAGCAGGGAAAGGGAGGTGACTGTCATCCTCTATTCTGCTCTTCTAAGGTCCCATACGGAGTAATGCATCCAGGCCTAGGGCCCCCAGCAAAAGAAAGGTGCAGAGCGGTTCGAGCAGGTCTGAAGAGGGCTGCAAAAATGACCAAAGGGCTGGAATACCTCTCTTATGAAGGAAGCCTGAGGGAGCTGAGCTTGTTCAACTTGGAGAAGAAAAGACCTCACTGCAGCCTTCCAGTACTTGAGTAGAGCTTATAAGCAGGAGGGGGACTGACTTTTTATACAGTCTGACAGTAATAGGACAAATGGAAACGATTTTAAACTGAGAGGGAAAACTGAAGTTACATGTTAGGAAGAAATTCTTTACTGAGAGGGTGATGAGGCTCAGAGAAGCTGTGGATGCCCCATGCTTGGAGATGTTCAAGGCCAGTTTGGATGGGGACCTGGGCAGCCTGATCTTTTGGCAGGCACCCCTGCCCACAGCAGGGAATTGGAACTAGATAACCTTTAAGGTTCCTTCCTACCTAAGTTAAACATCAGGAATTTAAAAAGTTCTGCGCAGTAATCATACTATATTTCATCATGTTATAGCATAATAAAATGATACATTATATTAAATCAATAAATTTTCTTCTTTCATTTTTTCTTTTTAAATAAGGACTGATAATTTTATTCCCCCCTAGACTTCTTCAATTCTCTCCTAACTCATATTTCTTCTAGCTTGAATAAGAACTAAGAAAAAAAAATTACCCATCATTAACAACACATTTTCCTCATTCCTAACCTGTTAAGTTTCTAAAGTTTGCCAAAATTTAAACCAATAAAGGATTCACCGTTACTAAGCAGATTGTTATTTATAGCTAGAAGCAAACATATACACATTACATTGCTTTTTTCTGAAACATTAGATAACTTAATACTTCAAACACAGGGAATTGTGAAATAGATAAGAAATCATAACATACATGGAGGTAACTCAGTTTATATTTTTGGCAAATACTAATTGTATGCAAAAGTAAAAATAATGTGTGACAATCAGAAAAATCCTCAAAGACACTAAATTCCTGTTTTTTAAAACTGTATAGATTGCTCCATATTTAGAGAATGTAGAAGTCTGTAAGATACAAAATCTTTACATGAAAGAAACAGTTAATGAAATTGACCGCTTTTATCAGCAGTTGAAAATCCTTGATGTACAATATTTAACATCTGCTTCAGTTCCTCTCATCTTTGTTAGATTACAGAAAAATCTGTATTCGGTTTACAGTTTGTCAGTCTATACACTCATTCCTATGAAATTCAGTGCCAACTACTTTTACCACAGCAGGAAGGAGAATACTAAAAAAAAAAAAGGAAATATAAACATATGAATATCTATATTTCAAATTAGTGCTTATTGCTTTGTAGAAATTTGTTTCCTTTTATATTGCTGTGATCTTTCATCTCTATGGATACACAAAGAATTATTTTCTTCTACTATGTAAGTTTATAAAGGAAAATATAACATTGAATCTCCCATCTCTCCTTCTTAATAGTACTAGGGAACTGCAAAAACACACGAAGTACTCCTGGTCAAACTGCAATCACTGCTGTAAGCTAAGTTTCTCTGAAAGTAGATTTCTAAAGGTATAAAATCAAGTACATACCAACTTCATTAAAATCTTCAAAGGTGATCTTGCCTGTGGCTTCTCGATCATAATCTTTCAGTATTTTCAGTACATCAGCTTTTTTCACATCAAAACCCAAGGCTCTCATTGCCACCTTTTGGAATAAAAAGAAAGCGCAATCAAATACTAATATAAAACAGAGATTTAAGAGAGATTTTTTCTTGTTTTTAATAAGAACATTACTGCCTAAGACAGAGTGTGCACACCAGTGGGACTCAAGAACAATAAATAAAATTAAAATACCAAAAATGCTTTGTATAAAAAAATAATGAAATCACCCAAAACAGCACTAATAAATAGAATATCAAATTACAGTGAAAAAAATAGCCTTCAGGTTTCCAATAATTTTAAAGAGTGCATCATATGCTTTTTAGAAGTAGATTTTTTTTCTAACTTTCAAAGACATTCAGAGTACTGTCTCTTTTTCAAAGATCAAATTGAAAATAATTCTTTAAATCACTCACAGTAAACATTTGACAAGTTATCTTTCAAGTGATTCAATTTATCACTTTTCCACTTGAAACTACGTAACTACGTAAATGTGTAAGTTATTCCATTTTCTCATTAGATCAGGAGTTGATGCTTAGTTTCCACATTTCAATAGAGATGGCAGTTTTTCAGCACATGCTACTTTGACTGCATTCAAATACATGAGCTTACATTAAACTACAAATAAAAAGCCCCACTCCTATTCAACATAGCCATTTCATATCTACCCTACAGGTTGATGTTGCAAAAGGAGATATTTCTTTACTCTATACATCTCAGTTCTTCCATTGTGTTATCTTCAGGGCCATATTTAACTAAACTGATAATAAACAACTTTGCCATCATGACAGCTGAGGATACAAAGTACACCCTGACTGGAAAAGCTGTATGAATAGTCCACAGTAGTTCCCCCTCTCATTACAGCTTCCAGCACAGGCAAAATACCCAAAATCTGAAAAAAGAAGAGGGAATCACTATAATCAACAACATTCCTCTACACATAATTAAAGTACAACAAATGCCATTTTTCTTCTCTAATTACAGGACAGAATAAGATTGTGGAACAAACTGGATTATATATTCCTTTCCAAAAGTATCTTACTCAATACATTAAAGGAATGCTGACCTCTCTATAAGACAGTATTTGCCCTTGATGAAGCTTATTCACCTGCCTAAGTCAAACTCTAGGGAGCAGCAGGACCTGTTACACAATATGCTACAGCAACTCTGTTACTGCGGCAACTATAGGACGTAGTGGCAAAAGCTGAGTTTTACTTCAAGGCACATCAGCAATTTTTTAAATATCCCCACTTCAGCCTTCCAGGACATCTTGACCATGAAGCATTTTTAAAGATAAAGTCAATGACTTAAAAACTCAGTTAGATGCATATTACCTGCCCTAAAGAAATTTAAATGATGAATAAATAAAAATACCTTCAACTCATGGTAATTTATTGCTCTATCTTTGTCTGTATCAAACAATTCAAAGGCATCTTTAATTTCTTGTTTCTGTTCCTCAGTCAGTTCTCTTCTCTTCTTTTTAGTTTTGTCTACTGAAAGCTCATTCCTACATGACAGGAGGGAAATTCAATACAACTGATTAATACTGGAAAGATACCACTGTAGATTACATTTTCCCACCAATAAGAAACTCATTATAATTGCACAGTTCATTGCCATCCCATTCAGCTTCTTCCCAACTTGATCTTCCAGATTGAAGTAATACTTGAAGCAGACAATTCCTTTGCACAGGTTGAATGGCTCCTCTACTCCTCTGCCCAGCAGAGGTGATCTGGTTAATAAACAACCAAACAAAATTAGAAAAAGCTATCAGTTAAAAAGAATGCTTGAGGTTACAGTTGCAAGGTGTATTAGCGGTTCCCATGATACAACTCCTAAAAAACACCATATTTCTAAACTGTAGCAAAACAAGAAAGTTTTAGGGGACAGAGCTTTAACTCATATAGCTGGGTTGTCCAGCTGCTGAAGTGAGTGTTAAGTGACATCAATTTGTGGATTTTTTGCCAGTAGCAGTTCATAGATGCCAAGTACCTATAGATTTTTAAAAATATTACAATATACATAATGAACCAGAGACTTTTTTTGCTCTGTTTCTCATGCATACAAAAGGGTCAAGTCCCCTAAAACAGCAAACACTACTCAAAGACAACCTTCTTCTCCCTCACTAGTTTAGCAATAACAGGAACAAAAAATTCTCAGGAACTGGGAACAATCAGAAAAAAAAAAAAAGAAGATGGCAAAGATAAAGAAAACTTATACCAAGCTAGTAAAGCAAGCTTTAATTGTATTCACAGAGCAACTGTTCTTTATTCCGTGCAATTGCATGAAAAGATGTCCATTTCAGCTCAAGCTTTTAAAAAAGTATTACATTCAAGGCAATAAGTGATACAAACTACGACTTTTAAGAAGGCTGAAAGCACACCCTTGGAATATGCAGACACAGATCTGAAATCAGCAGCACAGCAAACTGTTGCAGCAATGAGCACAGCTACCTGCAGTGCTAATTCCTTTCATTCTGCAGTCGTGTAGCTGCACCCAAAGTACTGCATTGAGTTGGGGTGCCTGAGTACAATAGATGCAGAGAAGATGGCTAAAGTAAGGCATACTGCAATCAGTACCTAGGTGGCTGCAGCATCTGGTTCAGGAGGAGCTGAAGGAGCTGGGTTTCAATCTGAGTGCGTTGGCAGAAGGACCCAGTGGGGGAGGGTAAGGCACTGTCTAGAGGATTAGACAAAGCAGACAGGCAGGTTCCCATCAGTGGTGCACAGCAACAAGAGTCAACTACAAGCAGTAAGAGAAGGTGGAAGCAGACCTAGAAGAAAGCACTGTCACAGTGCAAGTGGTTATGCAGCAGAATAGCTGCACTGGGAGACCACAGGATTTCTGCTGTTAGCAGAGTTGGAAAGGCCCTGAACTCATACTGCTGGGAGCCTGACCTGCTCTGAGCAGAGCTGGAGGAGATGACTCCCAGAGGATCTTCCAGTCCTAGATTGCTTGTGGAATTCAACATGCTCAGGAATCCCTCTATATTCATTTGTTTGCCTGCAGCAGTGACAAAACATGCGGTACCACTTACTGTACAGTGCACAGATGTGTGAACGCAGACTTGCTTTCCAAAGATGCTTATTTTCCACAGCCTGTAATTAGCTGTTTTTTCTTCCCTCTCACTGAGGATTATCTAATTCTAATTGACACCAGAGATTAACCAGGCAGCTGAGATTTAGCTGTCACCGACCAACGAACGGCACCGGGCAGGCTCCAGAAATGGACACGAGAAGCACAGGCTGGCTCTGCCTGACATGCAAGGCCGAGCGGCGACGGCGTGCCTCACCGTGCCGGAACGGCTGCCGCCCCGGGACGAGCAGCCTGGAGGAACGCATTTACAGCTCCGAATGCGGATAAACGCTGACACAAACACGGCAGTGGCGCGGCCCTGCCGCTCCACAGGAGCGCCTCCTCCCCACCACTGCAACCCCTGCAGCCCGACCCCAGCCGTTCCTGCCCGCGGTCCCACACGTACCTCACGGACAGGCTCATGCTACCGCCACGGCCGGAGCGCTCCGCGCTGCCTTCTCCGTGGAAACGCCAACCGCGCCCTCGTCGCCGCATCGCAGCGCCTGATTGGCTAGCAGCCGGACCTGCTCCCGCCCTCTTGGCACGCTCATAGGCTACTTCTCTGCCATTCAAGCAGAAGGAAGCTTTCCGTGAGAGGCAGCAGAAGGGGCGGGGCTTGCTGAGGAGGCTGTTAGTCAGGTGTCGACGGCGCCATTTTGGGAGTGTACGTAGGCATGGTTTTTTCCGGCCCGCGCAGGGCGGCGCAGAAGGTGGCGCCCTGTAGGCTGGGGGTTGGCTGCGGTAGGATGTGGCCTGTGTGTCCTGTGTGTCCTGTGTCACCCTTGAGGAACGTCAGCAGCGACATGGTTGTGCACACTGATTGTATGGGAACGGTTTTATCCAGATTTTCTGGCTTCTGAAAGTCAGCTTTGCGTGGATCTTCTTAAAAAACACATCAAAGCCTACGTGTGAAGTATTCTGATACTTATTCTAAGAATTCAGTCATGGTCTGATAGCAGCAGGGAACATGATAAGTTTGCAGGGGAAGCAATCCGTTTTACAGTGCTTGTTGCCACTGGTATTTTCATGCTTTGGAAACCAGTGCATGAGCCAATGTTAACATTGTGCAGGTGGAGCAAACAATGCATTTCACTGATAAGAAAACCTTGACTGAAAAAATACCACCTCAGTGTGCCATTGGTTTGTGACAATGGCAACAGTGCTCATAGCAGGGAGGTTGGTTGGAAATGGATGATCCTTGATGTCCCTTCCAAGCCAAGCCATTCTATGATTCCATGACACTTTGTGTCCCTGCTGCCATGTCACTTGTAGTGTCTGTGGGCAAACAGGGGCAGACAGATTTGTTTAACATCTGCTACTGAAGTGGAACCGTCCCATGCGAATAGCTCAACCATGTGGATGTTGTTCCTGTGTGCCGTATGATGAGTTGATGGGGAAGACCAGCCTGGTTGAACAGGGAGCTTCTGCTGAGACTCAGGGCATAAAAAAGAGTTTACCACATGTGAATAAAGGGGCAAGCCACTCAGGAAGAGTCCAAGGATGTTGGTATGCAGAGAGAAAGAAGAGCAAAAGCCCAACCAAGTGCCAGGTCACAATAACCCCAAACAACACTACAGGCTTGGGGCAGAGTGGCTGGAAGACTGTGGAGGAAAAGGATCTCAGGGTTTTGGTCGTTGTTCAGCTGAAGAGTCTGGAGCATAAGTCTTATGAGGAGTAGCTGAGGGAACTTTGATTGTTAGACTGCAGGAGGCTCATGGGAGACCTTATCGCTCTCTACAACTCCATGAAAGGAGGTCATGGTGAGGTGGGGTTTGGCCTCTTCTCCCATCTAACTAATGGTAGGACTTGAGGGAATGGTTGGACATTAGGAAAAATCTCTGAAAGAATGTTCAGGTGTGGGAACAGGTCTGGAGAGGTGGAGGCATCACTGTCTCTGGAGGCGTTCAAGAGCCGTTTAGATGTTGTACTAAGGGACATTTTGTAGTGGAGAAATATTGGTGGTAAGTGGATGGTAGGACTGGATAATCTTTGAGGTCTTTTCCAACCTTGGTGATCCTGTGACTCTAAAAGCAGATCATCTGACAGTGTTTTCAGATGGTGTCGGTAGGACTTCTTGATCTGCTGGAAGTTCCTGCTCCACCATAATGTATCCAGAAGGGGGCACACAGGTCTCTTTCTGCTCTTATGAGAAAACCTCTGTGTGCTCTGCTTCTAAATTTGATTATACTAAGCTGATCAGTTTTGCAAGTGTAAGAAGTCAGTGTCTTTACAACCCTGGCCTTAGAACACACTGTTTATCACCTCAGTAAAGGTAGTTGCTTTTCTGAGGTTGCACGTGAAATGGAGATGTCAGGAATTAAAAACTGAAAAGAAAAAAAGTAAATATTTTATTTTAGTTATAGTAACTGTGACTGGTGAACCCTTAGATTTTTAAAGCTGGCAATATCCCTTCTGAAATGACTATCCACAAATAGATGAGATAAATTAAAGTAATGCTAGTGGGTGCCTCACAATGGTGTATTGCTAACTTAGGAAGGAAAGTAATTGCTTATTTTGGGGATAACCTTGAAAATTCTATAATTCATTTTATCTTTAGCTTTTAAGTAATTCACAAACTCATCTACTGCTTTCTGAAAGCCATTTGTAGATCTGTCTGCCAGCCATACCTTCATTTTAAGTGAATGCTTATTTCTCTATTCCTAATTTCTTTAATATTTGAAACGCATCTGTTCCCGTCTCCCAAGCTGAATTTGAGGGTCCAGGAGATTAGAAATCTTGTATCTCCTGTTCAAAATCAGAATAGGTATCAGCATCTTCTGATGTAAACCATCTAGAATTGACGTGGAATACACAGTGGTTGCTAATGGCTTTAAGACAAGTAGTTATTACATTCACTCTGGATTCTGTTGAGCTTTAAATAGTTTAACAAAGCTCTCATTAGCCCAGGTCATTCCATTTGGAGGAAAGTTATTTCTATTTCCCATGATCCCACTGAAGGGGAGATGGTCTGCGCCATCTGTCAATGGTACCAAATGAACTCATTTGTAAATACAGGTCCCAAGCCATGTATATCTCTTAATTACCTTGAGAAACACACCAGCTGCAAATCTGCGTGTCAGTGTGGTCAGCACTAACCAATCCTCCAGAGGTTGACTGTGCACAATTAATTAGAGCCTTGCCCTTTATCAAGAAACCAAACGTGAAGCATGATAGGCATCATTTCAACTTTCAGTGGTGTGCTGAACACTAGCAATGTAAACATTTTTTGTTTCAAGTGCAGTTAATTGCTGTCTTTAGCTGTTGTCATGCATGAAAATAAAAATTTAAGTTAAAACAAATTGATCCCCCAGATAAATGCTTCCATCATATCCATATTTGGCATGCAAATTCCATGGAAAAGATTAACTGTGATATATGGTAAAGCCTTTTTTGTGAGTTTTTGTTTTATTTTGTTTTTTAATAAGCACCACTTGTGTTTTTGTATAAACTTTGCAGCATCACTCTATGACTAAATGAGGACGGAGAAGTGGCTTCCTTAGACATGGAAAAAGCTGAGGTGCTCAATAAGTGCTTTGCCTGGGTCTTCTCTGGTGGTCAGTCTCCTACCCATGTCTGCCAGGACCCTGAACATCTGGATGTGTGTGAAAGGAGCAGATTCCCTTCCACTGTAACAGTGGAACAAGTCCAAGACCTCCTCATGAAAGTGAATGTATGTAAGTCCATGAGGCCAGATGATATCCATCCTAGGGGATGATCCAGCCTAGAGATGGCTGATGTGGTTGCCGAGCTGCTCTCCAGAATATTTGAAAAATCATGGCTGGCTGCTGAAATCTCTAATGATTGCGAAAAGGGAAACATTACTCCAATTTTAAGAAAGGGAGAAAGGATAACCCAGGGAACTACAGGCCAGTGAGCCTCACCTCTGTGCCTGGGAAGATCATGGAGCAGATCCTCCTAGAAGGTGTTAAGGCACATACAAGATAAAGAGGTTATTTGAGACAGCCAGCATGGCTTTGCCAAGGGCAGCTCATGCCCAACCTATCTGGTAGCCTTCTATGATGGAGTGATGGCTTCGGTGGATGGGGGGGGAGGGGCAATAGATGTCATCTTCTTGGACTTCTGCAAAGCCTTTGACATGGTCCCTCACCACATCCTTCTCTCTAAATTGGGGAGGCATGGTTTTGAAAGATGGACACATTCGGTGGATGCAACAGAAGGATTATGATCAATGGTTCCGTGTCAGGGTGGAGACCAATCACAAGCAGTATCCCCCAGTGGTCAGTCTTGGGACCGGTGCTCTTCCCCATCTTCATCAGTGACACAGATCATGGCACTGAGTGCACCCTCAGCAAATCTGTGGATGACACCAAGCTGAGCAGTGCAGTTGATACACTGGAAGGAAGGGAAGACATCCAGAAGGACCTGGACAGGCTGAAGAAGTGGGCCCATGTGAACCTAATGAGGTTCAATAACTCAAAGTGCAAGCTGTAACACTTGGGCTGGGGTAATCCCAGGTGTTTATATAGATTGGGCGAAGAAGCCCTTGAGCGCAGCCCTGTGAAGAAGGGTCCTGATAGACAAGAAGCTGGACATGAGCCAGCAGTGTGCGCTTGCAGCCTGGAAGGCTGCATTAAAAGGAGTGGCCTGTAGGGAGAGGGAGGTGGATTGTCCCCCTCTACTGAGCTCTTGTGAGGCCCTATCTGCACTACTGCATCTAAGCCTGGGACCCCCAGCACAACAAAGGTACAGAGCTCTTGGAGTGGGTCCTTCCAGAGAAGAACCACTAAGATGATCAGAGGGCTGGAGCACCTCTTCTATGAAGAAAGGTTGAAAAAACTGGGCTTGTTTAGCTTGGAGAAGGCTCCGGGGAGACCTTATTGTGACCGTTCAATACCTGAAGGGAGCATATAAACAGAAGGAACAACAGCTTTTTATGAGGGTGGATAGTGATAGGAGAAAGGGGAAATGTTTTAAACTAAGATAGAGAAAATTTAGGTTGGGTTGGATACTAGGAGGAAGTTTTTCACACAGAGGGTGGTGACGCACTGAACAGGTTGCCCAAGGAGGTTGTGGATGCCCCATTCCTGGGGGCATTCAATACCAGGCTGGATGTGGCACTGGGCAGCCTGGTCTGGTGGTTGGCAACTCTGCACAAAGCAAGGGGATTGAAACGCAATGATCATTGTGGTCCTTTTCCACCAAGGCCATTCTATGATTCTATGATGATACATAAATGTTTGTAATGCAGTCTCTTACTAAGAAAAGTGAAAGATTACTAAGAAAAGTGAAAGTGAAAGTTAGTTTTCCACTAAGTATCTTAGTGGAAAAATATTTATCTTCAAAATGTGTAGAAATCATTGCTAGACTGCGTAGTATTATAACACTTTTATTATCTATGACAAATTTTTTGTCTTTGTAAAATGTAAACACCACAAAAGTCTGTAACAGATTACAGAGCACAACTTTCCATCTTTTTTTTTTTTTTTTTTTTGTAGATTTCTCAGTCTACTGAAAATTGAATTAACATAC